CAGAACAAGCTTATTTGTTCTCCTAGAAGTCCATGGTATATTCAGTACTCTTCTCCAGCACCAATTCTCCTTCTCTTATCCCTAGTCATTGTCCAGCTTTTTGATGCATAGCAAGTAATTGCAAAAACCATGGCCTGGATCAGGTGCACTTTAGTCTCCAGACTGACATCATTGCTCTTCAGAACTTTGTAGAGGTCTCTGACAGCTGACTTTCCCAATGCAATCGTCTTTTAATTTTCTGGCTACTGGTACCAAGAGTGTTGATTGTAGAGCCAAACAATCTGAAGCTGTTGACAAACTATATCTCTTCACCATCCATTATGATGTTGCCTATCAGCTCAGTGATGAGAATCTGTTTTCTTGATGTTGATCTTCAATCCATATTGAAGGCCACAGTCCTTGACCTTCTGCAGCAAATGCTTCATATAATCTGTCTTGGAAATAGTAACAAATATGGGTCTCTTCCATTCAATTGGCCAGGTAGCTGTCCTCCAAATTTCCTGGCACAGACTGGTGAGCATATCCAGGCTTGAATCTGAGAGTTGAAGCATGTCAGTTGATATCCCATCAATTCCTGGAGCCTTATTTTTTTTCCAATAACTTCTGTGCAATTTGAACTTCTTCTCTCATCACCACTGACTCTTTATTATGCACTACTTCCTGAAATAATGCCGTGTCAACCACTTTTTTTTTGGTACAGTGATTCTGTGTATTCCCTCTGACTTCTTTTGCTGCTTCCTGGATCATTAAAGATTTTGCCCATATTGTTTCTCAGTATTGTAACTTGAGGCTTGATTTTTTTTTTTCTTTTTCATTTAGGAAAGCTTGAGAAATACTGAGAAAGTTCTTCCTTTTTTATTTTCCAACTTCAGCTTTTTTTACATTTTATTATAATACTTTGCTTTGTCTTTTTTGAGCTGTCCTTTGAAATATTCAGTTTGTTACTTTTACTTCTTAATCTCTTCTCTTTTGTTTTGGTGTCTTGACACTCTAGAGCAACTTTCATAATTTCATCTGGCTTCCCTTTTGGTCTTTCCTTCCACCTCCATCTTTGTAATGAACTTACGTTCTCTTTTTTTTTTTCTTTTTTTTTTTTTCCATCAGAACTCTAACATGCTATTAACTACGTTCTCTTTATGGATGTTATCTTTGATGTCAACTCACAACTCAATCTCAAATCTACTTTTGAGAATATTTTTAAGTTCAAGTAGGATAGAGTCAAAGTTATATTTAGTTCTTGTGGACTTATTTTCATTTTGTTCCACTTCAATTTTAATTTCCACATGAGTAGTTGATGATGTGTTGCACAACCAGCACCTGAACCAGCTTTGACTGCTAATATTGAGTTTCTACAACGATTATATCTACAGATGTAGTCTGTCTGGTTCCTGTGCAGTTCATCAGTTGAAGTCTATGTATCATAACCATCTGTTACTTTTAAAAGTTATGTTATTAATAAATCACTGAATGTACCAAATTCAATCATTCCATCTCCAGCCTACTTTCTGTCCCCAACCTCATCATTTCCAACTATCATTCTTTCTACTTTGCTTCTAACTTTGGCTTTCTAGTCACCAAATATTATTAATGCACTTTATCTGCATATTTATTTGGTCACTTTCAGAGTGCAAAAGTTAGCTGTCTTTGTTGTTGTGTGCCAGAGTCAGAATCAACTGGTAGAAGACTCTTCAGTGAAGACTCTTCAGTGGATTTTTCAGAGACAGTAAATCAAATGGAGGTAGATTGCCAAAAGTTTGGTAGAATTTCTTAATTTCCTCATCTTTGCTTCAGCTGCTGTTAGGTATATTTGAAAAGCAATTATATTAACAAATCTTCCGTGTGTGTGTGTGTGTGTGTGTGTGTGTGGTTAGTATTCTATTACTCACAGCATCGTACCTCATGATATATTTGCAAAGATCTTTTTAACTATGAATGCAACACCAGTTTTTCTTCAACCTTTTGTTCCTGGAAAAGTAGATCTTATAATTGCTCAATTGCCCCACAATTCTGTCATCCAAGAAGAGCAAGGACCTAGAAATGAGGCCTTATGATATTAGTTTCCTCACAGGGTTTTGTATGGCTCTGGGAATTGGGATGCTGAGAACTGAAATTGGTAGCTCTTTGTGAGAGATGTCTAGTTGTGAAAGAGTTGGGCCTTTGATGCTGTTTTAACCTCTAGTATAGCATTGGCAGAGTGGTTATGCCATAAAGATACTTTGTTCTGCTCCAATCAGCAAAAATTGTCTGGCAAGATATTTTGATGGTATTTTTGGGTGCTAGGACCTTAGCAAGGGACCGTAGAAAGGAAGTGGAGCTTGAAAGCAGGAATATTGTTCTTTCTAGGATGTGCTGATGGAAAAATGGGCTGAAGATTTTAATTAATTCCCTCTTAGCAAATTCATCTTTGAGATACTCTTTGGCATGTTTCAACTGAGAGATGCAGCCCTGGATGTGCTCACCAGCCAATGCCAGGAAATTTGGAGGACAGCTGTCTGGTCAGCTGACTGGAAGAGATCCATATTTATTCCCATTTCCAAGAAAGATGATCCGACAGATGTGGAAATTATTGAACAACATCATTAATATCACATGCAAGCAAAATACTGCTGAAGATCGTCAAAACCGGCTAGGGAACTTCCAGAAGCTCAAACAGAATTTACAAGAGGCCATAGCATCAGTGATATCTGATGTTAGATGGATCCTGGATGAAAATAAAGAATACAAGGAGAATGTCTACTTATGGTTTATTGACTATGCAAAAACATTTTACTGCATGGCTGTTATGGCTAACATTGAGAAGAATGGAAATCTCAGAACACTTAACTATGCTCAGGTGAAACCCATACCTAGACAAAGAGGCTGTTCTGTGAACAGAGAGAGCAAGGAAATGCAAAATGGTTTAAAATTAAGAAAGGAGTGCATCAGTGTTGTATCCTGTATCCAATTCCATACATATGCTGAGCAAATTATTTGAGAAGCTGGGTTCTATGAAGAAGAAAGTGGCATCAAGATAGGAGAGAGACTCATCAATAACCTATCTTATGCAGGTGACACAACCTAGCTTGCTGAAAATAAGGAGGACTTAAAGCACTTACTGCAGAAGATCAAAGAATACAACGAAAGAGAGGAAGAGCATCAACCAGATGGATTGACACAGTGACTGTTGCAACAGGCTTTAGTGTGTCAGGGATAATAAGGATGGCAGAGTATCCTTATCTCTTATTCTTACAATGACTCATATTTGACTCAATGGCACCTAATAACAGCAACTTAGCAACTTCAAGCTTTTGGGAAACTTTGTGCCGCATGTATCCATATGGGTATGGACGAGAGACTTAAAGGAACTGGGATGTGGGGTGCATTTGAGTAGCTGGGTCCTTACCATAGTTTCCACCAAAGTCTTGTCTGAGTGGAGTTGAAGAAAACTGTTTCAGCCTGAAACCATGGGGCTAGTAAAAGTCTACACAGAAAAGGATTCCATTTCTCAAAGCAAAGGAGTTCAAAGGTGCGGTCAGAGTGGAATAGGATCGGTGTTGTTAGGTATCGAGTCAAATATGAATCATAACAACTCTATGAACAATAGATCTCTAAACCCTGTCCTGTCCTCTGCCTTCCTTATCATCTCTGACATACTCAGGTCCATTGTTGCAATCACTGTGGCAATCCATCTGGTTGAGGGTCTTCCTCTCTTTTGCAGACCTTCCACTTTTCCAAACATGATGTCTCTCTCCAAGGAATAATCTCTCTAGCAATATGCCCAAAGTATGTGAGATGAAGCTTTGCCATCTTTGCCTGCCAGGAGCACTCTAACTGTACTTTCTCTACGACATATCTGTTTGTTCTTTTGGCACTCCATGGGATATTCAGTATTCTTCTCCAACCGCACAGTTTAAAGGCATCAATTCTTCTTCTGTCATCTTTATTCATTGTCCACCTATCGAATACATAGCAGGTGATGAAAAAAACCATGGTCTAAATCAGATACACCTTAGTCTTCAAACTTACATCATTGCTCCTCATTAATTAGGAGAGGTACATGGCAGCAGACTTGTCTGGTGAAGTATGTCTCCTGATTTCCTGACTGCTGGTACCAAGGGTATTGATTAGGGATCCAAGTAAGATGAAATAGTTGGCAATCTCAATTTTACAAATAAATTTCTTTTTACCTAGAATGTTGATGTTCATATGTTCCATTTCATTTTTCAAAGTTTATAGTTTCCCAATAGTCAAGCTATGTACTTCCAGAGTACTGAGGAGCAACATACTTACTCTAGAAACTAAGGCACACCTGATCCAGACCTTGGCCCTCGCAATTACTTGTTAAGCATCAGAGAGCTGGACAATGATCAAAGATGACAGAAGAGTTAATGCCTTCAAGTTGTGGTGCTGGAGAAGAGTCTTGAATATACCATGGACCACCAAGAAAACAAATAGGTCTGTCGTGAAGAGGGTGAAACCAAGTATTTGAAGCCTAGGATTTTTAAGCTCTGTCTTACATACTTTGGGCAAAGGGCTAGGAGGGACCAGTCCTTAGAAAAGGACATAATGCTCAGAAAAGTGGAGGGACAGCACAGGAAAGGAAGACCTTAGATGAGATGGATTGATACAGTAACTGGGACAATTCCGAGTCAGTGAGACTGGCTCAGGACATGGCAGGTTTCAGAGCTGTACATAGGATTGTTATGAGGTGCAGGCGACTCAACAGCACCTAACAACAAAAACAACTATTAAATAATGTTTTTCATTACTTTTCCTCATTTTGATTGACTTCCAATCTGGGTTCTCCCACTACTACTACAACTATCCATGTTTCAGTACTGTTCACAGGGTTTTCAGAGGGTTTAAAAAGTGATACCTAATAACAATAGTGACTTACTTAATGGTTAGAAAACTTAGAGAGCCATGGGCATTAGAAAGCCAAAAATCTCTGATCATGTATAGTCCCTAAACATAGGGCCCTGGGTTCTGTGTAAAACCTTGTTCTGTCTGCCTCACCTTAGGTAACAGCCAGATCATCAAGTCAGTGAAGGAAATAGCAGTATTGCCCTGTGACTACAACGTTCCTGATAATCAACTTAAGAATTTTCGAATCTACTGGCAAACGAATGAGGAAGTGGTGTTAACAATCATGTCTGGAAAAGTTTCTAAGGAACCCAAGTACTTGAACCGGACCCTTGTAGACATTCCCAGAAACCTTTCCATCATCATCCTGAATTTGCGCCCGTCAGACACGGGCACATACACCTGTGTTGTGCTGAAGAATGAAAAAGGATATTTCAAGCGGGAACACCTTGTTTCAGTGGATTTATTAGTAAGAGGTTAGTGAAGGTTTTTGTGTGTTTTTTTTATTTGGGTTTGGTTTGTTCTTTGTTGTTTTTTTAATTGCTTTGCTTACAAAATTCATATACATTGTGTTTCACACTATTCTTCATTCACGTTGTGTTTCCTACAATCATTTTCATGCATTATGTTTTATAAAATTAATTGCCAATGGACTTTGTTAGTCATTATCCTGTCTTTTCACCCAGATCCTTCCCATTTCCTCCCTCCCGCCACACTCCCTCCACCTACCAAACCTATCTTGAGTTCTCATACATCTTTTAATAGTTATCCTTATATCTTGACAATAATGGTCTTATGCAGTATTTGTCCTTATGAGACGGCATTAGTTCACTCAGCATAATGCTCATCAATTTCTCCCAAATTACATAGTATTTTTCCAAATTATTTCTCCTGAGTCCTGCATAGTATTTGTGTGAATGTACCACAATTTCTCAATCCATTCAGTTGTGGTTGGACATTTGGACTGTTTTCATGTTCTTGCAATAGTATGCAATGCTATGAGCATTGGTGTACAAATCTCCATTTGTTCTTGGGGATATATTCCTAATAGTGGAATAGCTGGGTCATAAAGAGTTCCTATGTTCAACTTTTTAAGGAAACATCAAACTGTATTCCAGAGTGGTTGTACCATTTTACAATCCCATCAAAAGTGTATGAGAGTTCTCACCTCTCCACATCCTATCTAACATTTATCGCTTGCTGCCCTACTAAACTTTGTCACTGCTACTTGAATGAGATGGAATCTCATTGTGGTTTATATTTTGCATCTCTCTTATTGCCAGTGATTTTGATCATTTGAGTTTTGTTTTTACTTCATTTTAGGCTAGTAAATTCTTAATGCTCTTAAAGACATGCTATTATCTATTGTTGTTGCTGTTGGTGTTGGTGATGTTGTTGTTGTTAGGTGCCAGAGAGTTGAGTGTGATTCATAGCAACCATATAACAACAAATCTTTCCAACCCCGTGCCATCCTCATCATCTCTGATATACCTGAGCCCATTGAGCCACTTTGTGTATTCATTTCATTGAGGGTCTTCCTCTCTTTCCTTGATACTCCATCCCAAGCATGATGCCTTTTTCCAAGGACTGGCCCCTCCTAACAACATGCCCAAGGTATATGAGACAAAATCTCACCACCCTTCCCTCTAAGGAACACTCTAGTTGCATTTTCTACAAGATATGTTTGTTTATTCTTTTGGCAGTCTATGGGATATTCTGTAATCTTCTTCTGCACCGTTAACTCAAAGGCATTAATTCTTCTATCATCTTTAGTCCTTGCCCAACTCTCAGATGGATAATAAGTGATTGGAAAAAAACCGTAGCTTGAGCCAACTGACCTTAGTTTTTAGACTGAAATCATGGCTTCTTAGTACTTTATCTTTTTATTATTATTATTAATTTCAATGAAAATTTACAGAGACTTTTGATTTTCAACTTCCCCCCCCCCCAGTACGCTACCCTCTTGGAAAAGTAAAAGAAAAATTCTTTCACTGTTTTACAAACCTTCCTCCCAGGTCCACTCCACTATGCAGCCTTTGCTCTGGACTCCTGTCATGACAAAAATATCTAATCACGCATCCCTTTTAAAGAGATTTCTCCTTCATCTGTTTCAATGCAGTATACATTATTGAACCCATCTGTCTCAGTCTCCCCCTAATCCCAATGTCAGTCTTGTTTTACAACAGTGGCACCATGCAGTATTGGTCCTTATGTGACTGAGATACTTTACTCAGCATAATGTCCTGCAGGGTCACCCATTTTTAATATTGCATGAGTTCCTTGTTTTTCAGTGCAGCATACTATTCCATTGTGTGAATATACCACAGCTTCTCTATCCATTCATTTGTTGATGGGCACTTAGGTTGCTTCCAACTCCTTCCTCTTGTGAACAAACCCGCGATAAACATGGGTATGCTTATATCTGCTTGGATGTCAGTTCTGCATTCCATTCTTTTATCAAGCATCTTGTCCTTCTCCAGCAATTGGTCCCTCTTGATAGCAAAAATGACAGACTTCAGTATGGATTACACTTCAACATAAAGAAAATTTAAAAATCTTCACAATTGGACTAATAAGCAGCATCATAATAAATGAAGAAAAATTTAAAGTTATCCAAGATTTTATTTTACTTGAATCCACAATCAACACCCATGGAAACAGCAGTTAAGAAAGCAAATGATGTTATTACACCGAACAAATGTTCCAAGGACCTCTTTCAAATGCTTTCAAGTGCAAATATGTCACTTTCAGATTTAACGTTATACTTGGTAGAGACAATGAAGATGAGAATTCTCTCACATAGTGTGAAAGGAGCAGATACAATGTGAGGGTGGCCAAGTCTGACTTCTACCTGCTTCATAAATGAGAACTGCCCCATCAATAATATCCATAGTACTAAACAAATAGCTACATGGTCAGACATGCCACTTCATATGCTCCTGCACCTATTTCTATGAATTATTGGGTCCATTATTTGTTGCAAATTGACCCACAGACTTTAATCACAGTCATGGGCTTTATTAAGGATATAGCATTGGAGTGGGCGATGAGGCCAGATATATCACACAATGCAAGTCCAGATTTAATCCAACAGACCCAAGCCAGATTAATAATGGCACAATTCCTCAATTAGTTTAGACAGCTTCTCAGTCAACGAGTGAAAGTCTAGGTTCATTTCAGCAGCACAAATAATCCTCTAGTTTCCTTAGTCATCCAGCAAACTTTATCTCAGAGCAGTTACAAGTAAGCTTTTCATTCAATCATCTAGCAAGTATAACCTTTAACTGTGGCTCCATCTCCAAGGTTCTTCTAGTTACATCTTGCCACAGTTACTTCATAGCAGTACCACAATCTCTTCACCCTCTTTCCACCACTGTTGTCTCCATCATTATCTCTCACAGTGTGGAAAGTGTTCTCATATATTGATCCCAAAGCTGTTGACGATTTGTAAGACTATGTGTCTACAGTTAAGGTAGCTGGAGACCATGAACCCCAACAGAGGCTAGCACAATGGCTAGAAAGGCCCATTTTTAAGGGTTCTGACATCACAACTAGATTAATACAATTATTACAACAATGTGTTCAAACATAGTAACATTTGTGAGGGTATGCAGGACTGGACTATTAGTCCAAAGGATCATTCCAACTTCAATCTCCATGACCTTGAGAAGGAAAACTAGATAGTGCCTACAACTATCTCACTGCTGACCACACTGAAAGGGATCCTAGTAAAAAGTCCTGGATCAAAGAATGTGAAAGAAAATTTTAAACATCCAAAATTGACCAGGCTTACTGGTTTGATGAATGATTATAGCCTATTTAGTCACCCTACAAATTTGGAGCTTCATATTAGCATTGTGACTCAACTTTCAACCAAACAACAGATAGAGCTATATGGTGAATACAACAGGGAATGGAATAGAGGGGTTAATGGAAATGACAATCCCATATCTGAAGTGGGAAAAGTGTAGTTTTATTGTGGGTCTTGTAATTTATGTCACAAAACAAAATGTGGTTGAATGGAAAACCAATATATTTTGTAAACTTTCACTCAGATCACAATAAGGAGAGGAGAAAATTACAACTAAGGAAACTTTATGGGATAGTTAAATTCTATAACATGGAATTGCCATGAGTAGGAATAAATTTTTTAAAAAATGTATGAGAACCTCTTCCTGACTAAGACACTCAGAAAATTAGAATAGAAGGGAATTTCCTCAACATAGTGAAAAGTATATATGCAAAACCAAGAGACAATATTCTTCTCAATGGAGAAAGGCTAAAGGCATTTTCTTTGCAAACAAGGACCAGACAACAATGCCCACTGTCACCCACCACTTCTATATAGTATTTTGTATTGGAAGTGTTGGCTAGGACAATACAACAAGAGAAGAAAATAAAAGTCATCCAGATCTGCAAAGAGATAATTAAACTATTGCTATAGGGATATTGTAGCTAATGTTAGATGGATGTTGGCCGAAAACAGGGAGTACCAGAGGAATGTCTATTTGTGTTTCATTGATTATGCAAAGGCTGTGTGGATCATAACAAACTGTGGCTGACTCTGAGAAGAATGGGAATCCCAGAATACTTGATCATGCTAATGAGAAACCTATACTTGGACCAAGAGGCAGTCATCAGAACAGAGCAGGGAAACACTGCATGGTTCAAAATTGGGAAGGGTGTACACCAGGGATGTGTCCTGTCTCCATACCTTTTCAACCTGTATGCAGAACAGATTATCTGGGAGGCTGGGCTCTATGAGGAGAAATGTGGGGTCAGGATTGGTGGAAGATCTATTAACAATCTGCATTATGCAGATGACACAACCCTGATTGCTGAAACTGAGGAGGACCTGAAGCACTTGCTGCAGAGGATCAAGGATGGCAGCCTTCAACATGGATTGAGGCTCAATATCAAGAAGACAAAGATTCTCACCACTGAACCAATTGGCAGCATCAGGATGGATAGTGAAGAGATTGAGATTGTTCACAGCTTTAGTCTGCTTGGCTCCACAATCAACACTCTTGGCACCAGCAGCCAGGAAATGAAAAGATGTATTGCAATGGGAAAGTCTGCTGTTAGGGACCTCTCCAAAGTACTGAAGAGCAATGGTGTCTCTCTGGAGACTAAGGTGTGTCTGATACAGGCCATGGTCTTTACAATCACTTGTTATGCGTCAGAGAGTTGGACAAAGACTAGGGAGGATAGAAGGAGAATTGATGCCTTTGAGCTTTGGTGTTGGAGAAGAGTATTCAGGGTACCATGGACTGCTAAGAAAACAAACAGATTTATCCTGGAAAGGGTTAAGTTGGGCTGCTCCTTGGAGGCAAGGATTCTGAGACTTTGTCTGACATACTTTGGTCATGTTGTAAGGAGAGACCAGTCCTTAGAGAAGGACATCATGCTTGGGAGGGTGGAGAGGGTGGAGGGCAGGCGCAGGAAGGGAAGGCCCTCTAGGAAGTGGATTGATTCGGTGACTGGGGTAATCAGGATGGGTGTGTCAGAGACAGATTGGCACAGGACAGAGCAGAGTTTAGGGCTGTTGTATATAGGGTCGCTATGAGTCGCAGGCTACTCAACGGCACATAACAACAACATATGCAGATGATATGGATGATATGACAGTGTACACAGAAAACCCCAACAACTCAACAAAAAAAATTGTTAGAGTTAACAGACCAATTTAGTAGAGTGTCAGATATAAGATCAATATCCAAAAATTAGAGGGATTCCTCTACAATAACAAAAAGAACTCTAAGAAAGAAACTAAGAAAGTTAAACCATTTTCAAGAGCCAACCACAAATTAAGATATTTGGAAGTGAACCTAACTAGAGATACAAAAGACCTATACAAAGAAAACTACAGAACATTTCTGCAAAACACAAAAAAAGCCTTAAAGAAATGGAAAAATGAACCCTGTTCATGGATAGGAAGACTCAATATTGTGAAAATTACAATCTTACCAAAAGCAATCTACATATTCAAGACAATCCCAAAACAGACACCAAATTCATTTTTCAGAGATCAAAAGGGGAAATTGGCAAGTGTTTTTGGAGAGAAAAGAGAGCCCAAATAAGCAAAACACTTCTGAGAAACAAAATGAGGTGGGAGTCATAGCACTCCCTGACCTCAAAACCTACTACACAGTGGTATTAGCCAAAACAGAATGTTAGTGGTACAATGACAGGCACACAGACCAATGGAACAGAACTGAAAACCCAGAAATAGACCCAATTATCTATGGCCAACTGATATTCAACAAGGAAATAAAATGTATAAAATGGGGAAATGACAACCTCTTCAAAAAATGGTGCTGACAAAACTGGACTGCTGCCTGCAGAAAGCTGAAACAGGATCCACATCTCACACTATACACAAAAGTCAACTCAAGGTAGATCAGAGACTTGGGAGTAAAACCCTAAACCATAAAGTTCATATGAGACAAACTGGGGTCAAACTTAGAAGGCCTAGTCTACGGTATAAAGAGACTGACAAATATGGCCAGAAATGCACAATCTGAGGAGAATAAAATGGACAAGTGGGACCTTCTGAAGATTAAATCCCTGTGCTCATCAAAAACTTTTTCCAACAGGGTGAAAAGAAACCCTACTGATTGGGAACAAACATATGGCAATACCATTCCTCACAGGAGTCTCATAACAAATTTTATAGAATACTCCTAGTCCTTCATGAGGAAAAGACTGATAACCCAATTAATTACAAAATGGGCAAAAGACATGGAAAGACTTTTCACAGAGGAAGATATTTAAATGGTCAAAAGCCATATGAAGAAATGCTCCAAATCACCAGCAATAAGACAGGTAAATCAAAACCACAATGAGACACCATCTCACCCCAGTAGCAGTGGCAAAGTTTAACAGCACAGCAAGTAATAAATATTGGAAAGGATGTGGAAAGATAGAAACTCTTATACATTGGTTGATGGGATTGTAAAATGGTACAACTACTCTGGAAGGCAGTTTGGTGTTTCCTCAAAAAATGGAACATAGAAATTCCATATGACCCAGCTATTCCACTCCTTCGAATATAACCCAAGAAAATGAGAACTGAAGCACAAACGGAGACTTGTACATCAATGTTCATAGCAGCATTATTCACCATCGCAAGAACATGGAAACAGTCCAGAAGTCCAACCACAAATGAATGGATTGAGAAGTTGTGGTACATTCATACAATGGAATACTATGTAGCATCCATAGTAAATTACTACCTAACTTGGGAGGGACTGGAGAGCATTATGCTGAGTGAACTAACTCAGTCCCACAAGGATAAATACTATATAAAACCATTATTGTAGAATTATTATGAGGATCAAAGGGAGGCAAAGGGTGGAAACAGAGGGATGAAAATGGGGGAGGTTGTTAATCATAGGATTTCATATTTCGATGGGTAGGGGGATGAAGGACATAGGAAGGATCTTTTGTGAAAAACAATGTATTCAAATTTTTTAAATAAATGAGTATAAAATATTTTTTTAAAAAGAATAAAGTGAAAAATGTATGGTAAATTGTGAATTATATCTCATTATCATTTTAAATAATTTTAGATATAAGAAATGTAAATAATATTTAATAGTATAGTTTTAATGAATTTTAGATCATTTATTAAAATATCAATCCAAACATGCCTTTGTAGTGATATGTGTACATGCAAACATGCCTATATAGAACTATATATTTTAATATCCTTATTCTTTATTCAGCAGACTTCCATGATCCTGTTATAAATGAGTTGGAAAGCACATCTAATGGCATTAAAAAGATACTTTGTTCAACTTCTGGAGGCTTTCCAAAACCTCACCTCTCCTGGTTGGAAAATGGAGAAGAATTAACTGCAGGCAAAACTATAATTGTTCCAGATCTTGAAACTGAACTCTACACAATCAGCAGTGAGCTCCTTTTCAATGTTACCAGAAACCACACATTAGTCTGTCTAATCAACTATGGAGACAAACAAGTGTCAAAGAATATCTCCTTGGTGATGAGTAAGTGGTATTCTTTTAAGAGGTTTCTATCATATAGACTCTAAGAAGAAAAAAAAGAAAGAAAGAAAACGTAGCCAGATTTTAGAATTGAGTGTTTTGACTATGACATAGCACTTTAAGATGCACATATTAGGTAATAATAAAATGCTACTGCCACTCATGATACAAAGGTGTGGAAATAGTATTACTAGACTAATTAGAGACACAGAATGAGAATCAGGTAGTGGAAAACACATCAGAACTTAACGCTATTCTTTTTCCATTGACAGACAAACCTACTGAACCTATTCATCAATTCCCACCCTGGATCATTATCCTGAGCGGCATCAGCAGCAGCATTTTCATACTTGGGGGTGGCTTTATCATTGCCAGATGTTATCAGAACAGCAGTAAGTACTACTGTACTATCATTCCAACATCAATCTCTGGATGCCCAAACTCTATCAGTATAGGTCAGCATCTCTGTGAGGTTACAGTCTGTTCTATTCTCATGTCTGAACCAAGTCTATGGAAACTTTAGTGTCTCCCTTGACTCATCTAAGCAGATTCTGCAAAGTCATTGAACAAGCATTTTTGTGTACACTTAATGTGCCTGACCTTCTGTTAGGCACTGTTGTTGTTGCTGTTGTTTGGTGCCATCGAGTCCTAGACGACTCATAGCGGCCCTATGAGTGAAAGGTCTGAGTATTGTTCATAGGGTTTCCAGAGGCAAGCCATTTCAGACGTGGATGCTGCTCCTGCTTCTAGGCTTAGGCACTACAGTCACAAAAATGGGACATCTCTGCCTTCTAGAAATATTCTACTGTCATCTGTTTCTTCTCCTCTAGTTTTATAATAGGCGATTCTTGTGGCTTAGTGGTAAGGAATTGTGCTGTCAACCCCAAAGTACATAGTTTGAATCCACCAACTGCTCTGCAGGAGAAAGATGGGCAATTTCCTCCTACAAAATGTGCTGCCTCTGAACATACACTGGAGGATCAGTTACGGGTTGGCTCTCACTCAAAGGTGCACAACAATAACAACAACAAATTTTATTATATCTTTCTGGAAATATTGAGGCTTGCTAACTGATTAGAAGACATTTCTGATGGTGAGTAATATTATAAGGTTTTTATGTGGAGTTGGAGAAAAGAAATACTGGCAAGATTTGGAGATGCCACACGTAAAACTCTGAAAGAGCAAAAATTTGCTAGCCATGATTTGCCCCTCAGATATAATGATGAACTTACGGCTTTTCCAGATAAACAGAAAGGAAGGGAACTGGCTAAAACTAGAACAACCTTATAAGAAATACTAAAGGAAGTTCTTAAGACAGAGAACCAATTATGATGGACAAAACGCCAAAATTAACACATATGCCGACATCATTCAGAAACAGGCATAGACACAAAAATACACAAAGTAAAGCAAACTTTGAAGACTAAAAATAAGGAACCGGAAGTACCAGTCCATAAATGAGGACAACTACAAAGCAAAAAGAGGACTAAATAGTATAGTTATAGAACTTGCAAATGGAAAAGAGGGCAAGGTGACTTCAAGATAAAGTAACTTGGGAATAAAATAGTTATGCTTGGATGGTTACCAGCGATTGAATAGGAAGGGAAAGGGAGTGGAAATTAACAACTAAATAATATTCATTCAATTAATTGTTGTAGAGCTGGGTTTCTAGGCTGACCATCTCTCTCCTTATGGACTACACTACCACGGCTTCCTTAAACAGGTAATGTGTTGTTGTGATGTGTCGTCAAGTTTCCTGCAAACCTTAGTGACCTTATGTACAGCAGCTCCCTTTAATTCTGACACACCAACCCCATTACCCCAGTTACTGTATCAAAACAAATTTGCGAGCTCAGCCTCAGTTGTCATATCTTTTAGTCTACTCTAAGTGTGTTCTGCTATAGATAGGGTTTTCGAAGGCCTATTATATTTCAGAAGTGGATGGCCAATCCTTCTTCCTAGTGTCTTAATTCAGATGCTTAGTTTTAGAAAAATATCTAACAGACAAGCATTTTGCTGAGCAGATAAAGGACACTTACCTTGCATGGACAGGGAGAAAAGTGAAACAATGAATAAATGGAAATCCAAAACCTTTGTAAACTTTCATTAAAATTAATAAAAAAAAATCCAAAAAAAGGACACTTCACTTTTTAAATCTCAGAATAATAAAGTAATGACAGAGTGAATAAAAGTTAAAATGTTGTAGACACATATTATTATAGGTAAAGGAAAAGACAATGAAAGACAATATATGATAAGGGTATATGATCATCACAATACCAAAAAAGAAGACACAAAGAGGTACACAAGAAATACAATCAGCAGCAGATATAAAGGCAGGCAGGCAATACAAACAGGTATGGATAGGTTAAAAGGACTACATATATGGCCATAAATTTGGTTTGGCAGATGATATTTCTATATTCATATTAACATATGATGTAAAGACATCAATGTATATAATAAAATCAATAGGGACAATGTTTTATAAACTTCTTAAATTGTGACCCTGAGAAAAGGAACTGCTGGTTCAGAGGCCACAGTCTTGGGGAAAATCATCGTCAATTGGCATAACAGTCCAGAAAGTCAATGTTATATATCCTTTGAACTTTGGAGTGGTTAAGCTTTAAAGCAGACTGTTTAAGGTGTTTGATCTCTTTCTGTATGGAACAAAAAGGGATGAAAAGAAGACAGAAAGAAATAATTTGTCCAAATAACAACTAGATCATGTGGAGTTCAGCTTCCATGACCCTGAGATTAGAACTAGACAATACCTGACAATGCTGACCAGTATAACAGGAATTACTATCGAAGCTGTTGACTAGACCAGGCGATAAAGTGGAACAAAATTCAAATAAAACAATTGGCTTATTAGACTGGTATTGGTCATTTTAAATGAGATAATCATTTGACCTATTATTCTATAAATGACAAGTTGAATAGGAATTGTGTAGCATTTGTCATAAAAAATCATTTCAAGTGAAGTACAATGCTGTAAGAGACTCCCATCCATACTCATACAAGGAAGGCCTGTTAATACAACTATTATTCAAATATATAACCACTAAAGCCAAAACACTTGATCATGCTAATGCGAAACCTATACTTGGACCAGGAGGCAGTCGTCAGAACAGAGCAGGGCAACACTGCATGGTTCAAAATTGGGAAGGGCATATGCCAGGGATGCATCTTATCTCCATACCTTTTCAACCTGTATGCAGAACAAATTATCCAGGAGGCTGGGCTCTATGAGGAGAAATGTGGGGTCAAGATTGGTGGACGATTTATCAACAATCTGCGTTATGCAGATGACACAACCCTGCTCACTGAAACTGAAGAGGACCTGAAGCACCTGCTGCAGAGGGTCAAGGACTGCAGCCTCCAATATGAATTGAGGCTCAATGTCAAGAAGACAAAGATTCTCACCACTGGACCAATTGGCAGCATCAGGATGGATGGTGAAGAGATTGAGATTGTACACAGCTTTAGTTTGCTTGGCTCCACAGTCAACACTCTTGGCACCAGTAGCCAGGAAATTAAAAGGCTCATTGCCATGGGAAAGTCTGCTGTTAGGCACCTCTCCAGAGTACTGAAGAGCAATGGTGTCTCCCTGGAGACTAAGGTGCATTTGATACAGGCCATGATCTTTACAATCACTTGTTATGCATCAGAGAGTTAGACAATGACCAAGGAGGATAGAAGAATTGATGATGCCTTTGAGCTGTGGTGCTGGAGAAGAGTATTGAGAATACCATGAACTGCTAGGAAAGCAAACAGATTCGTCCTGGAAAGGGTTAAACCGGGTGGCTCCTTGGAGGCAAGGATTCTGAGGCTCCGTCTAACATACTTTGGACATGTTGTGAGGAGAGACCGGTCCTTGGAGAGGGACATCATGCTTGGGAGAGTGGAGGGACAGCGCAGGAGAGGAAGGCCCTCTATGAGGTGGATTGATTCAGTGACTGGGATAATTGGGATGGGAGTGTCAGAGACAGTGCAACTGGCACAGGACAGAGCAGAGTTTAGGGCTGTTGTACATAGGGTCGCTATGAGTCGCAAGCGCCTTGACGGCACATAACAACAACAACAAAGCCAAAGATAAAGAAATTGAAGACATCTACCAAATTTTGCACTCTAAAATTGAATATGTCTGATATTGAACCAAGATGCATTAATAACAATTGGTGACTGGACTCCAAAATTTGGAAACAGGAAAGGACTGGTATTTGAGAAATATATGACATTGGTGATAGAAAGAAGACTGGAGATTGAATGATTTAATATAGTTTTCATATTCAATAATTCATTCATCACAAATACCTTTTTTTACAAAAATATATAGTGATTATATATATGGACCTCACCTGATTGCCTATGCAGGAGTCAGATTGACTACATCTGTGGAAAAGAGTTGATAAAGAAGGTCAATATAGTAGTCAAAACAAGTCCAGGGGCTGAATGTGGTAACAGACCCTCAGTTATGTGCAGGTTCAAGTACAACCTTGAGTCTGCTCTGCTGAGTTTAACACTATCTGAAGAATAGATTTAATGCACTGAACACTAACAACTGAAGGGCAGATGAGTTGTGGGATGACATCAAGGATATGGTCCATGAAGAAAGCCAAAGTTCATTAAAAACACAGGGGAAAGAGAAAAAACCAAATAGATGTCGGGGGAGACTGAAATTTGCACTAGAATGTTGAGAAACCAAAGGGAAGAAATGCTGAAGTAAAAGAACTAAACAGATTTCAAAGGGCAACTCAGAAAACAAAGTATTAGAACAAAATGTGTAAAGAGTGCTAAAGTTAGAATGAGCTAGGCACTGTTCAAGCAGAAAGAACAGAAGAAAAAATTTAAGCCTAGAGTTGCAATACTGAAGTATTCGACAAGCAAAATCTTGAATTATGGAAGAATGATGAAAAATTAAAAAAAAAAAGATGGAAGGAGATGTGCATCTAGTGTGAAGGTGAAGGACAAGATGGTGCCCCAGTGCAGGGCTCTCAGCTCATCAAGTTTATCTGCTACTTTGAGATCTTCCTTGGCATAGCCTACAGAGCCAAGCTCTACAGTTACCTGAAACCTCAGTGGAAGAGGAAAGGTGGATGGCGGCTGAGGAGAAGCAGCAGCAGGATGAACTCAAACAGATCGTTAAAAAACTAGCAGAAGGTGAGCTCTGGCGGCCTAGTGGCAAGAAGCTGCACTGCAATCCCTGAGGTCCGCGGTTCAAATCTACCAGATGCTCTGCTGGAAAGGGAGGAACAATCTCCTCCTGTGCCAGTCAGATCTGATTTGATGATACACACACACACACACACACACACACAAAAACCACACAACAACCTAGCAGAAGCCCAAGATGACAGCATATTGAAGTGAAACTCCTCTGAGCTGACTTGTCTTCAAGCAGCAGTGTGTCAACAAACCTCCCCTATGGTGTGTGTGGGGCGGGGGGAACCAAAAAAAAACATGGAAGGAATGCACAGAATCACCATACCAAAAAAAAATTAGTTAATACTGAAGTATTTCAGGAAGTAGCACATGGCCAAGAAACAATCATAATGTAAGAAGAAATTTAAGGTGCACTGAAGGCACTGGAGAAAAAAAAAATACAACAAGAATTGATCTAATAATAATTGAGGTGTTTAAACAAACAGATGTAGCCCTGAAAGTACTTACTACCTTTTGCCAAAATATTTGGAAGACAGACAATTGACTCAAAGAGATTCACATATCTTCCTATTCTAAAAATAAAACTTGGTAAGCTGATAGAAAGTAGAAATTATTAAACAGTAGAATTAGTATCACATGTAAATAAAATCTTTCTGAGGATTATTTTTAAGTGGCTAGAACAGTATATGGACAGGAATCTTCCAGAAATTCAATCTAGATTCAGAAAAGGCTTTGGAATAATGAAAATACCATTTGACCCAGCAATTCCACTACTGGGAAACCATAACTTAAAGAAACCATACTGCTACCCAAGCAGATATATGCACACCCATGTTTATTGCTGCTTTGTTCACAATAGCAAAGAGTTGGAAACA